GAATTACTTCTTTTTCCGCACTTTATCTCATGGAATTAGATCAAATAATCTGTGCTTCAAAACCTGGATCCCAAATTCGTGGATGGGAGCTCAACTTCTTTTTTTCTTTACTATATTCAAAAGGTTATGACTTAAAAGAAGGGACTAGAATTTTCGAGTTATGTGAATATATGACAATTTGATTCGAACATCTTGATATATTTTAAAGAAAAAATCAAGTTAGCTTAACTTCAACAGTTATGGGGAATTGAATAAGTCATTCAACAGTTTGTTTCTCTAACTTTCCTTTCCTTCTAAAATGCCGAGGAATTGAGCAAGTCACTATGAAACACGGAAGCTAAACTTGGCATGGCTAGGGGAATAAGTTCATTCCATGTAACAATTCGACTTGATTGTATTCATTAAAACTGGGGAATTGATTCCCACTAAGTGATTGGCTGTGAAGGAGTCGCCTGCCTTTCACAAATATACGAGTTCGATTCACGTCACAAATTCCTTACTGTTAGCATTTTGATAGGACTTTGATGACGAGGTCATCAACAACGAACTTTCAGGATTGCGGGTAGTGTGGAGCAATTATAACTCAAACCAAACATTGTGTAACGGCCGTGCCTATATATATAGGTAAGAAAATGCGTGGTCTGTTGAGAATTTTAATTAGAGTTCATTAACTTGTCTCGTTATAAAGATTCATAGTTTTGTTCGGTTGCCATTGTACTGCTTGAACAAGGACAGTTATGAACACGAGAAATGCTCTCTTTTGGATCCTAGTGGTCTCTCTTAATCTCTCTCCTAAGGAATGAAACCCCAATATTCTACTTAGTGAAGTTTCTTTCATGCAAAACATGACAAAAAGCAGAATGTTTGGTGCTTTGCTAGTTTGGCAATCCTAGAATTTATCGGCCAATGGGATACACTTAGGAAAAATCAGGACTCCTCCACTCCAACCTATTAGTATATCTCACTCTCATCTCTTCTATCCCAAGCTCATGGACCTCCTTCAACTCCGCTCTCTCTAATCATATTGTTCATATTTCTTTAGCTGGCGACCTTAAAGACATTATGGGCGTGTTCACTTTCACAAATGAATACATTTCCACAATCCCTCCGGCAAAATTGTTCAAGGCCCTGGTTGTGGACTCACATAACCTAATCCCCAAACTTATGCCTCAAGCTATTAAGAGCATTGACATCATCCAAGGCGATGGAGGGGCTGGAACCATTAAGCAGATCAACTTCATTGAAGGTAATCATGCTTTTTTTGCTGTATAAATGTGCTTCTTTTCTAGCTTTAACAAATATTAGGGCGTAGACAAGTATCCTATGATACGATCTTTTTCTATTGTATACAGGTGGTCAGCTCAGCAGCATGAAGAATCGTGTGGATGAGCTGAACCTAGAGACATTAATGTACAAGTATACCATGATTGATCTTAAGGAGAAGTTTGAATCTATTGTTTACGAAGTCAAATTCAAGCCAACACCAAAAGGCGGGAGCAAGAACAAGAAGACGAGCACGTACTACACGAAGGGAGACATTGAGCTTAAAGAAGAGGATGTTAAGGCAGGCAAAGAGCGAGCCTTCAGAATTTACAAGGTCGCAGAAGCATACCTCCTCCAAAACCCCGATGCTTATGCTTGAAACTTCACATGCTCTCTCAAGTAATTTAAGAAGCCTTGTCAGTAAGTTCTCATGATATATTCTATCTTCTGTTGGAAGTATCCGAGTTCCTTTACTTCTTTATGGCTTTAAACTTCCTTAAATTTGAATGGCAATAAAGATACACACTTTATAACTTCATTGTGAGCGATTCCTATAATTGCCCTATGAGAACACAAAGTTTATTATGTTGAAACAAGTACTATGGGAAGTGTTGTGATGACAACTCATTAAACGCTTGCATAAATGTTTACATGAGCACATCACAAGGCTCTAGAAAAATGCTTCCCATAGATATGTTACCAGCCTTTTAACTCCATCCCAGCATCAAATTTTATGTATTCTTTTGTCCTTTACTTTATAATTAAATAAATTGAAGATGAAAGATGATAGAGATGTGAGTTTGGCGGAAGCCCACTTGAGCATACAAGATAGAGATTTAAAAAAAATTCAACATTCCATTTTCAAAAAAGGACAACATTAGAAATTGTGGAACCAGTTATACGCCGTTTAGCTCATCTTATGCGTATTCGATGCAGCATTTCGATACACTCCAACCCTTCAAGCACTTGCGCACATCTCTAAGGAGTTCATCCTTCGGCAATGGACTTCCAACATAGTTTTGCGGTTCCTAAGGTTGACCTTTTTCGAAACAAGTATGTTAGGCTCTATAAGGTTGGCCTGGTCACACTTCTCTCGTCTTCACTTTAGTTATCCAAAAAAAAATCCATGGACTGTAAGAATATGCATATCTTTAATAACAGTCCAAAACGTTTTGATTTTGACTGATCTTATCACTCTAGATATTAAGGCTTCATTAACCAGATATGTGTTAGTGTCAATTTATGAGATATGAGTAAATTAGGACTAAACAAGTATATATAATCACAGCTCTATTCTGACCAAAAATAAAAAATCACAGCTCTACACTTTAAAAACTTTCATCCATTCCAAATTTAGGGTGAAATAATAACTTCCGTCGACAATATTAGTTGTTTTGACATGCAATTGAAAATTTTGATTTATATGTATTTTATATAAGACAGTATAGGAAAAGTTTTGATAAAATGCAAGTATCTTCTGTCACGGTTTGAAACAAAACCAAATGATTTTGGTCTGGTTCGGCTTCAATTAGTAAAAATGGTTTTGATTTGGTTTGAGTTTTTATCAAATCATATTTCAACGTTTTGATTTGATTTGATTTGGCCTTCAAACCACGCCTAACTGCAACATCATCACCCTCACTCACAAATCCTCACACGATTGCATGTACAAAATACGCGTTGTGCCTTAGGACCAAACCTCCTCGATAAGCAACCCCATAATTTATGGTTCTTTTTCCTGCCGGACACACGTCGAACGTTAAACATGTACATGATGGAACAAAATTCATATTGATCGACGTTGCGACGATAAAAAAGTTTAATGCTATTTCAAATTAGGGCGACGTATTAAAACCGTACCAATGCTGGAGATATGCGACCAAAACGAACAATTAGATAAGATCACCCAAAATGAAAGTTTACTTCTACGTGCTAACCCACAATCATTAATATTTGTTATAATGCTTAGAAAAAATTATGAAAAGACTTAGCAAAATGAGACAAAAGGAAGAGAGTGAGGGTTAAAAAAATAGAGATAATTGTTCAAAGGTTTAATACCACAGAAAATCCCAAACTGGTACACTTGTGACAAATTTACTCTAAACTAAAATCTCAAATTGGTACACCTGTGACAAATTTAGCCTCTGTTAGTTTCTATTAAATTTTACTGTCAAATTACTGAGTTGGATGACACGTTGCAGTTGACGGGTATACCAATTTAGGGTTTTACTCCTCTATTTGTCACAGATTTACCAGTTTGTGATTTTTTGTTGTATTAATTCAATTTAACGAAGGGTAAATTTGTCACAAGTGTACCGGTTTGAGATTTTTCGGTGTATTAACCCTTGTTCAAATCAACTGTCCGCTCATTTAACAACAGTTGGTACAATAATGCTGCATTTCCTCCTCAGGCTATCGGATGTCTAAAGGGCATATCGCAAAGCAGAAGAAAGAAGCGAGACACTTCAATCATCTCTCTCTGTTCAACGATGGATGTCACCACTGTGTCGGCGGCGAAGTTGGTGTTTCCATCGTACCTGGGCCGTAAGAATCGCCGGCCCAACCTTATCCTCCTCCGCGTGCAGGAGGAGGACCGGAGCTTGCCGCTCAAGGCCCTCACGGTCAACTATTGCGTTCGCAGGGGCTTCCCATACAAGGCCGTGCGGTTTAACCATAGAGGCGGACAGGTTCCGAAGGCCAAGTCGGCGGAGGATCTCGGCAAGGACATCATTGACGCCCGAGACGATTATCGTACAAGGGGACCGATCCTTTTGATCGATTTAGAATAAGGTTTTACTTTTAAACTCGTCACTTTCATCGTGAGGTACCGCCAATCATTTTGATTGATTTAGCAAGAGACGGTACCCTTTCATGACCACTTCCGATATTTAATGCTATATTTTCTTAATAAGTGTCACGATCCGAGGTTCGTTGAACGACTGAGATCTATTGCATTTCAATCTAACAGTGAAAAATTACGAGAGTCGAACGTCTCCCGAAGTATCGATCCAAGAAAAGTTTAGAATTTTCAAAACTTCGTGTTTTTCTTGTATTATATGTAATTAATGTATTGCTAATCCAGATATTAAATATGATTACTAAGCGGAACAAGAGCTGTTTTGTTTTTTGTTTTTTTTTTCTGGTTGAGACATGAATGAATCGAGTTGCGTATGTCAATATTTGCAGAGAAGTAGGAAACAAATGCCGAAGCATATAGTCATTGATTAAATATGTTAAAATGTTAAACTTGAATTAATGAAAGGATAATATTGAACATTTTTGTATAGTTCGGGGACTAAATTAAACATGTGCCAAAAGTCCATGAACCATATTAAATAGATTAAAAGTTCATGGATCATATTATACATTGGATCAAAATTCATGGACCACACTGAATAAATTGAAAATTTATGAATCAAATTATATATTAAATTAAAATTTATGAATTATTCGTGCCATTATCCCTTATATAAAATTATCTATTGTTAATCGACGGAACGGTGCCCTAGTTAATCAGATTTAAGATCGGCTTGGAGTCCACGAGAAGGGAATCAACACGCCAACCATTACATGCTAACTGGCCTGTCCAATCGTTCTACCCTATTCACATTGATTGATATGTGCAGCCTTTCCACTACTTTGTCAGACCTTAAAGGGGCAGAACATTGATCGGAGTTAAATACTGAGCTGTGGAGATGAAAGTTGTTGTGGTGACTTCTCGCTAGCCACAAGAAAGAGATCAGTGCTTAACTTTCATGTGCTTGTTTCGATTCGTACTCAAACACCAAGCCTCAGCGGTACCACCACCATGGCACACCGGCAACTTCCTTCGCAGTCCGCCGTCGTTGGTACTGAAGAGCATGACCCGGAGGCCATCGACGAACTAATTTCTTCGCTTCCCATAAGCAAAGGTCCGGTTCGTCCTGTCCATAGCCTTTACCAAAACTTTTGGTGCCCGATGCCCATGCTTCCCAACGTGATCGCGTTCCAGAGGCACTTCGAAGCCAAAGACAAGGACATTTTCCTGGTCTCTAATCCCAAATCAGGAACCACCTGGCTAAAGGCCCTAGTGTTCTCCGTCGTTAACCGCTCTCACTTCGACATCTCTAACACGCCCTTGCTCACTTCGAACCCCCATGAAGTCGTTCCTTCCGTCGAGCTTAAGCTGTGGCCCGACCTCGACGACCCGGCGGAGCCACGGCTCCTATCGACGCACATCCCTTACCCATCCTTGCCGGAGAGCGTCAAGCGGTCGGACTGCCGGATCATTTACATCTGCCGGAACCCATTGGACACCGTGGTTTCCTCCTGGCACTTCTTCCTCGAGACGGCGCGGTCGCAGGACCAGCCGGAGTGGTCCTTTGAAGAGCATTTCGAGACCTTTTGCCAAGGGCAAATCGTGTTCGGACCCTTTTGGGATCACATCACGAGGTACTGGAAAGAGAGCTTGGAGAGGCCACACAAGGTGTTGTTCCTCATGTACGAGGACTTGAAGGAAGATATTGGAGGACAGCTGAAGAAGGTGGCCAAGTTTGTGGGGCTTCCCTTCACTCGGGAGGAAGAGGAGGGAGGTGTGATAGAAGAGATAGCCAAATTGTGTAGCTTCAGGACCCTGAAGGATCTGGAGGTCAACAAATCCGGCAAATTACCGGGGGCTACCGCGGAAAAGGGAAGCTTTTTTAGGAAGGGCGAGGTGGGTGATTGGGTTAACTATCTCACTCCTTCCATGGTGGATCGCCTCAACAGCATCACGCTAGAGAAAATCAGCCCCTTTGGGTTACAGTTTAAAACATGTTGAGTGTTAAATACTCACACTCTCTGTGTGTCGTTAGAAATAAGCGAAATGTAATAGCCGATCAACAGCGTAACCAATCTGCTGCTGCAGAAGCTCCATCAGCTGTGAGCAATGTCACTTCGGCCTTTACTTCTCCGGCGCCATCAATGGAAGGGCGTCATTTTCTTGTAATTTGTTGTGAAAGCAAAGCTAGTTTTCTGGACTCTGGCATGTTACTCGTGGACGTCAGATCAATCTAATCGTTTCCACTCTTATCAAACAAAATGTAGACCCCAATTATAAGTTGTGCCCATAAACAGCTGTCTTAGTTTTAACTTTAACCTCGAATCCATCTATCTAAGCTCCAAAATATCCGGACCATGGGCATGTAGACATAAAGTCATTTGTTGAATTGGGTTATAGTCTACCGAAAAGATAATTTGACCAAAAGAATTAGGCCTAATTCCTCAAAACAAAACTTCAATTTTAGGTCCAATTTCAATTTTGTCCCGAGCATATTGCTTAGCAAATCTAATCTCCTAAATACCCCTAAATGGGTGGGTGATCTTCTCAATTAATATGGAAACTAAAAGTCAGCAAAAGTAAGAGAGCATATTGCTTAGCAAATCGAATTGTAACACTCTCCTAAATATTGATGGAGTCCACATCCCTAAATAGGTCTATGATCTTCTCCATCGATATGGAAACAGAAAGTGAGCGAAAGCAAGAGCATATTTCTTAGCAAATCAAATCATGCCACTCTACTAAATATTGCTAGAGTCCACATCTCTAAATAGGTGTATAATCTTTTCTATTAATATGGAAACTAAAGTTAGCAAAAGCAAATTTCACCCAAATGTACAACGATTTGCAATAGCTGAAGTACACAGAACAAATAATGAATTGCTGCTTTGGTATTCAATTAGAGTTTCTCATCCTCGCTTATGAAAGCTGCACGAAATGGAATAAGAAGGGGAATAGATCAATTTGACAAGGGGACAATGTCATTATCTAGTAATTAACAATGTCTTTATTTAGTAATTAACAATCCCCACTCTCAAGCTGCAAAATTTTCAAGCCAATGTAATAGCAAAAGATAAATTTAACTCGTATTGAACATACATGGATTTGACTGGAAGAGGGTTGTACTCTTAAACTCGTCACTTTCATCGTGAGGTACCGCCAATCATTTTGATTGATTTAGCAAGAGGCGGTACCCTTTCATGACCACTTCCGATATTTAATGCTATATTTTCTTAATAAGCGTCACAATCCGAGGTTCGTTGAACGACTGAGATCTGTTGTATTTCAATCTAATGGTGAAAAATTACGAGACCAGAGCGTCTCCCGAAGTATCGATCCAAGAAAAGTTTAGAATTTTCAAAACTTCGTGTTTTCTCGTATTATATGTAATTAATGTATTGCTAATTCAGATATCAAATATGATTACTAATTGGAACAAGAGCAATCATAAGAACTGGACAAGCCGTTCAACAACAGAAACAGAACTTTGACCGTCGAAAGCAATTCTATCATCACAACCCTTGATTAGATGAGGTTTATATTTAATCCCCATAAAATGGACGGCTACGATTACGTATGATCATTAGATCCGTGTCCATCTATGCGCTTGTTGTTGTTAAATCAGGATTCATGTGAATTTTTTTTGGTGACAATGATTGATGTGATCACACGTGCTGGTGCGATTAATTAAGACACTGGTAGCATTTGTTGTTCATCAAACATTTCCTCAAGTAGAAATTTGACCTGGCATCAATAGCCGGACTGAATGGGTCAATTCCTGTCCCATTCCTAGGTTGGACCGGACTGGGCTATTTTTTTTTATTTTTTTTTTTTCTGGTTGAGACATGAACAAATCGAGTTGCGTATGTCAATATTTGCGGAGAAGTAGGAAACAAATGCCGAAGCACATAGTCATTGATTAATTATGTTAAAATGTTCAATGTGATCCCTGAACTTGAATTAATGAAAGGACAATATTTGACATTTTTATATAGCCCGGAGACTAAATTGAACGTGTGTCAAAAGTCCATGAACCATATTAAACAAATTAAAAGTGCAGGTACCATATTGTATATTGAATTAAAGTTCAGGGACCTCACTGAATAAATTAAAAGTTCAGAAATTACATTATATATTTGGTCAAAATTTATAAATTATTTGTGTCATTATTCTTTATATAAAACTACCTAGTGTTAATCGACGGAACGTGCCCAGGTATATCAGATTTAAGATCGGCTTGAAGTCCACTAGAAGGGAACCAATCGTCCTACCCTAGTCACATTGATTGATACATGCAGCCTTTCAAGGAATTTGTCATACCTTCTTTAAGGGGGCAGAACTTCGATGGGAATCAAATACCGAGCTGTGGAGACAAAAGCTGTGACTCTCGCTAGCCACAAAAAACGACCAGTGCTTCATTTTCATGTGCTTGTTTCGGTTCGTACTCAAACACCAAGCCTTGGCGGTACCACCACCATGGCACACCGGCAACTTCCTTCGAGATCCATATCTCTAACACCGTTCGGGTCCTACACCCCATCCAGAGCAAAGAAAGACCGGTCCGAGACGGAACAATCGAAACGACTCGAAAGATGCATAACAAAAGAAAAGAAAAAACCCGGGGACTCGTACGAACTCCAAATTCGATTATTTAAACCCTCGCCGTTAATCACGCACAATCATCATCATCATCATAAGCCTCGAATGCATGCACCCCCGCACACTCCACGACTTGCATCCTGTGCGTCAATGATTTGTTTATCATTTCCGACTGGGACAACCTCGTGCGACTTGACCATGATTTTGTCGAACCCCATTAAACTATTTGTCCCCCCATCTTTCTTTTGGACCAAAAAGGCCGGGCCAAAGCTCGTAAATCAGCCCCCAAAACAAAATTTAAAATCAAATTAAAGTATATTAAAATTGAAATAAATTGCAAGTAGACCACGTTCTTGACCATATGGGCCTCGTCATTCTCACGTATGATTAGGGGAACATCTTTGCGAAAGACCTGGTGAAAGTCAGCACTTTTCTTTAGTAAATTGTAAAGTCGCTCGTTATGGCAAAAATCACTATGTTTGGTCTCGTAAAGTGCGTTTTAAAAGAAATTGGCTTGGGGAATTGAGAAGATCGAGGACCCCGCTTGGCATACAATTTCAATTGAAGGATTCGATTCGGGAAAAATGATTAGATTAGTGTAATCTAATAATTTGTTCTGGCGATGGGTTAATCATTTTTTTTAAATAATGGAACTATAGTATTTTTCTAATTTTCCTTAGTTCGATCATCCCCAAAAGTCTCCACCAACCAAACATGCTCCGTAGAACAATGACCTACTTGGGGCTCCGGGGTGGTGGTGGTGGTGGTGCATTCTCTTTGCCTTCCGCGATTGCCCTTCCCCTTGCAATTGAAAAGATGGTTTGATCAAATTTCGTATATCCATAACAAGGGGGAAACAAACTTTATGATTTTTTTTTTTTAATTTTCACTTTGGAACTGGAATTGTCGCGATCCTCGGCACGTTATGAAATCAGAAGAACAATGATTGGACCGTGGATCTCGAGGAGTTAGCTGAGTACTCGAGCACTTAATTGCCCTTTTTCGATCGGGTTGAATTAAACACTTGATTTCGATTGCAGGAGGTTTTCTAATTCAAAATACAGCGGCGTCTCCACTCACTGTATCTTTGAGGGCTCACCTCTACTACCTCCATCGACGGAGCCTTATCTAGCATACGTAGACAGAGCAATTTGCACGCATTTGTGGAGATTAGCCGATTCGAAAAGAAATGGGAATGCTCTAGCTTATAAAGACGAAGTTGCAATTCGAGATTGTTCATTAAGGATTCCTTCGTGGTTCGACCCGCTATTTCCTAAGTAATTTGAACCGAGGATTAAATCGTAAAATCCTTCTGCGCACTCACGCCATAAAATTATCGGTAAGTACGTGCGCACCTGAATCGAGGACAAGATCGTTCGGCCACCTCGAATTAGCGTGCGGAAGGAGGAAAAAAGCCCGAATCTTTTTTTTTTCCCTTTTCCTTTTCCTTTATTCCCGCTTCAAATTCCGTGCGCCGCACGTGCAGCCCGACAGCAACCCTAACCCACAATTTCGATTACCCCGAAATCAACCAGATTTCCGCACCACGCACTAATCTAAGAATCGAACTCGATTCGCACGTGCGCATCGAACCCCCCACCCCTCCTTTCCCGCTCCTCATCCGACGGCCCTGATTCGCCCTCGCCGTCTAGGGGGCGACCGGCTACGCCGGTGGCGGGGGGCGTCCAGGAGGGGCACGGAGGGGATTTCGCCCGTGTCGGCCTCGGTGGGGCTTCGACCGTTGACCGGATCCCCGAGCATGGGGCGAGCTGTCCGCGCGCCTTTGCACTTTTGACCGGGTTGGGCGCACGTGCGGATGACGGGATCGCACGTGCGGATGACGGGATCGCACGTGTCTCGAGCTGTCGTTCCAGCTGGAGGGTGCATCAGGAAGGGCGCGCGCCACGTAGGATGCACGTGAGTGGCGATAATGGGAGAGTTCCGATTGACGAGGTATATTATTAGCAACTGGGGAGGGCGTGATTTTTTTTTTTGGGAGTTTAATTAAATCCAATTAATTAAAGCGTCAACTTGGGAGCACCGTACAGCCTTGTTGCATTTTCCCCGTCGATCGACGAAATCTCCAGGAGATACGAGGAACGAGGGTAGTGATTCATCGTACCCGATCTCGATTTTCGTATGAAACTCACAATATATCATAACCATTCGGGATAGTGACACATAATTTTTAAACTTTGACAAAATATGTAACGTGGCAACTTTTAATTTGTTTAATGTTGTTGATGAACTTGAATTAATGGAAGGATAACATTAAAAATCTTCACATAATCAATGACTAGATTACACATGTATCCAAAGTTTGGGACCACGTTGAACATATTAAAAATTCAAGAACGGCGTTACATATTGGATTAAAGTTCATGGATCACATTATTCAAACTTAAAGTTCGTGAATTACATTGCAAATCGGGTTAAAGTTTATGGACAATTTACGTCATTTTCCCTAATAATTTTTTTGTGTGTATCGCTCTTGAAATGTGTGTACTTCGTAAGAAAATATTTTTATTTGTGTCATTGACCGTCGAAAGCGATTCTATCATCACAACCCTTGATTTGATGAGCTTTATATTTAATCTTCATAAAATGGACGGCTACAATTACTAATGATCATTAGATCCGGGTCCATCTATATGCTTGTTGTT